TCGGTCTGCAGCTGTACTACCTAAGCTACGTAGATCTTGGTGGTTGGGCACTGCAGGGATACTTGGTGGTTGGTCACGAAAGTCACCTTCCAGTCGGGCGAGGACAACATCTACTTTAAAATCTCACAACCCCACAGCGAGGGTGGGGAACAAAGAATACATTTCAATTGTGTTTTCACCCATTCTTGCAGTGTTTGTTTGTCTTGCAACACATTTTTCTTGTGTTCGTGGTGCTTGTATTTTGTGCGAAGTGAACATGCTTCCCGTGCAATGCCGGACAAAGACTAGTCAGCTGGAAGAGATCATGGTCTGCACTGTTTGCACTTTGCTTGCTTTCGCTTAGACGATGTCGCGCGCCATTCTCAAGGGCGCCCTTGTTACAAGTACCAACCTTTAACCTTTAGCTTAACACTCAACGCTCCTGAGCTTTAGTGTCGGTAATTGTTGCGTGGAATCGCACTTGTTATCCGACTTGGGGCTCTTTGACTGGCCTTGTTCATGTACATTTGCTATTTCATATGTTCATTACTTTGTTGCCAATATTGGCTTTCATGTTGCAGCACTCAAACAGAACGGGCTTCATGTGTTGGAGGTGGCCAAGTAGATGACATGTACTATGATCCGCATGGGCCGCTGCAGTCGTCGCGGAGCTCATTACCTCCGTTCCATGTTCACGTGGCCAATGGTGGTGAAACAGGAAGCATCACATCACCTGCGTTGTTCTGCATTTCGTCTTTGTATTTCTGCGACAACTGTTCAAGACTTGTGTCCCGCACAGATTTGGCAGAGGATGTTGATTCCTATTATTGCCCGCATTGTTTAGAAAACATGCCGTCAAGCGAGGCCATGCTTTGCGGGATGAGATGCTCCAAATGTTGGGAGTGTCCTGTTTGTTCTTCTACGTTGACACCTTGCATAGCAAACCCAAGCTCCAAGGAGCAAACGTATCATTTTGCTTGCAGCTTTTGTCGCTGGAGTTCCCGCGGCCGTCAGGAAGCCGAGAAGCCTGAGCAACTGATCACGCAGATTGTCGCATTGGAAAGAGAGAGTGAGCCGCGCCAAAGAATGGTGGCCATGGTTGATGCTTTCCGCACAAAGGCTCAGGACCAACAACGCGAAAGAGAGTTGGCACAGCGCTTGAAGAGACGTTCGTTGACCAGAACATCATTTTCATCAGCGTCTCTGACAGCATTTGCAGCACGCCGTTTCAGTTCAGCGGTGTCAATGCGCGGAAGCACACGCTTGTCGGCAATTGGTGGTTCTGTACTGTCCCTTGGAGCAGGGGAGCTTGGCAAGAAAATCATATCAGGCCCGTGGAGCATTGAAGACTTGGAAACCAAATTGGCAGAACAGGAGGAGAAGCAGAAGGATCTGCGTACGAACGCCTCTCTGGCCGCGACATCTGCCCTTGATTCTCCTGAGCCCTCTATGGATGCAGGAGCCAAAGACAGCCCCTCGCGGCAATTTAGTTTCAGTGGCCATGCAACTTCGTCGGAGGTGCCAGTGCTGGCTGGCCTGTCTGCTCAAGATCTTTTGCGAGCACACCGGGAGCCATTTTCAAAAACACCTGAGTCCAATTTGCTATCTGAGATGCAGTCCAGCATCGAGATTGATGCCAATATCGGGTGTGGAACTGCAAGCGATTGCGCGTCGCTTGGAATGCGTTTGCTGCAGGTATCCTATGGGTATCATGGCGTCCCGTACGATGTTACAAAACAGCCTGCCCAGTCTCTGCGGAGAGGGCAGTCGCAGTTGGAAGCGCCTTTGCAACACAGACATCCTTGGAAACTGCTACCTGTTCGGAAGCCGCTTTTGACCAAACGATCTCGGAGGTGCAAGCTGCTGCATGCAGCGACCGAATCAGAACCCATGAAGGTTTGCAAAGGCTTAGCAGTGAAACCCAAGATCAACCCTTGTGCAAATCCTCCGTTTCAGAAAAATAGTGTGGCTGCCACGATCGTTCCTCGCATCATCCCGTGGAGTTGCGGGAGCGGACCTGACGGTGAAATGAACATAGTTGTCATCATGGCAAATACTATGGAGACAGACCTGGTCCTCGAATTTGATCCTGCAGCCTTCAACGAAAGAAGTGCCAGCTCCAAGGCTGGTTTTACAAGCCAGCCTTGGCGAGCGCTACTTGCAAATCAAACCGTGGAGGTATTGACCCCTGCGTTTTCAACAACAATCCCCAAGTGTTTGGATGAAGCTCCAGAAGGCTTTGAAGAAGATGCCAAGAAGTACCGAGCCACAGACAATCCGGACATAATCCTGCAGCGCAAGATGAATAAGATTTTTGTACGCTTGCGTTTTCAAAAGGAGCCAGCTGTCAACTGCTGGGTATTCTTCGCGCACGTGAGATTGAAGTTTGCAGTGTCCTTCAGTGACACGGATATGAAGAATCATGAAGTGGATGTGGTACTTCGCTTTGGGTCGCAGAGCAGTGAGGGTACACAAGTGCTGCCACACAGTCAGCTGAGCTCTTCGACGTTGGTTTCCTGAACGCAGGTACAGACGAGGACGCTGTTTCACCCGGACCCCGTGCTTCCACAGGGCGTCGAAAGGATTCGGAATAAGTCATTGCTTGGCAACTTTTTTGGTGTGTGCTGCATGGCTGACTGAAGCGGGCGCTTTCCGAGAGCTTGTGTGGACTTCCAGCAAGGTTCACAGTCGTGGTCATGTCATGCCCATGGGATGAGTTGAGATGTACTTTTCATGGTGACAGCAGGCAAGGAGTAGTCCTGCTAGGTATTGACCAGCATCAAGCACACCTTGCCAGATAGACTGCAAGCTCCGAGCGCAAGCATGTCCCGTGATTTTAGCACTTGAGATGCAGGCGGATTAAGTACGACCTTCACTTGTCCTGATGTGAGAATGTCGTTGCTGGGTGGGCCACTTGACGACCTGTCGATGCAGGTGACATCTGCCCTTACACCGCCAAAGTGCTTGTGCAGCGACAGGGTGGTGCATTTGAAGGCCATGATGCGATCTTGACATGTTTTGGCCGATCCAAGTAGGCCACGGCGTTTCTGGGTCAGACGTTGCGTTGATGCACGTCTAGTGGGGCTGCCATGATCCTGCTGCTGTCCACTTGCCATCGTAGGGTCTTGCTGGGGATGCTTGCGGTTACGCTTCGTGCGAAATCATGTCCCAGCGTTCTAGTCCATGCCTCATTTTTTGCAGGGGTTCGGTGTGGGCCGCTTTCCGCCTGACGCAGAAGGCGTCAGAAACGTTCTTGAAGTTGGCACTAAGGCCAATGGCAAAAGAGCACTTTCCTTTGGAATCGCACGTGCACGTTTCAGGTTTGGACGATCGCTTGGTGCAGCTGCTGCTGCAATTCATTGGGCCGAGCGGCGTTCTCGCTTGGGATGGAGATCAGTTTTCCCAGGACTGCTTTTTGTGATGCAGGACGCTCATGCACGATGATTACAGATGTGCCAACTTTCAGCAGGACAGCTTTACTCGAGTCTTGGATAAGGCCAGCCAATGGAGGAGAAAACTTGACCGCTGATGTCCGCCTTCTTTCGCAATTGTTCCTGAGCTTTTCTACGACATGGATTTCCCTACCATTTAAGGCATGTTTCCATGCTGCCGGCAATGACATGGACCATGTTTTCTCATTCCATCATTGTGCAAGCGTTGGCATCGTGGGCAGGTTTTCCACTGAACTGTCGTTCTGGAACTTATTGTCAAGAGCTTTAGCCCTCAGCATCATGAGCGTCTCGACCACCCACGCTGGTGAACACTGTAGTTGCTTGGTCATGCGCCTAGTACATGTTGCATGTGGGCTTTACGGTTTCGGGTACAACCACTGCTCGTAGTACATACCTTCTGAGTGTTGCTGTGGATTCCTATAAACGATGCTGTCGTTTGGGCCAGGAGCAGGGGCAGGCTTTTGCATGCCCAAACCATCACATGTACTGAGCACGGGCAGGCTTTCTTAATGTCGCAGTTCCTACCATTATCCTTGCTCTTTTTCAGATTCTAACCCCTGGATATCGTTGTCCTTTTCTATCAAATTGGAGTTCTGCAGCCAACATTGCTAGCATGAGACTGTTCATGCAAAAAACAACAGCCAGTACTACTAGTCCAAGTGCTCATGCTTTCATACAAGTAGCATCGTTCCCCAGTCTGTTCTTATCTCAATATATCTCAATCTGGTATGATTGCCTGCGTCCAGGATCCGAAGAGCGGTTCTGAACAAGCCAATATACATTCGAGCAACAACTTGTACTGCACCGCCAAGCATAGCATGAGTACTACTGTGGGACGCCATGCTGCTTCTGTATGCGAGCAGTTGGTGGGGTGCAAAATTGGCGCCAGCCACACTAGCTCAAGGCCCGTGTAGTTAGAACCTTACAGCACCCGGCAAGGACCTGCAATGCTCAGGTGCAGGAAGGTCTGGGACATTACCTGAACATTTACAGCCATGAAAGAATGAAAGCTTCCTGCAATCTGCATCGAAGCTTTCTGCCAATCAAAGTTTTGCCTTCATGTCAGCGCCTGTCACGCATCATCATGGTTGAAGCAATGGGTTTTGAGTAGCTTGATCCTCCGTTGTACATGGGCATACGCAAAGTTGTTTAAGGCATCCGAAAGATTCTGATTGTTCGGCACCCCCCTGGCTGAAGCCTGGCAAGTCTGCAGGCTTTCCTAGATCATTGCTAACAGGGGGCAGGTTAAGTCACATCAAGGCGCGTAGAGTCGTAGAGTCACATCAAGTTGGACACTTACCATGCGCACGCTGCCGGGAGCAAAGTCACTTCACCCGGTCATCCAGGCCAGCAAGCAGCATTTCGCTCGTTTGTGGCGCGGCCAGTCCAACCACTCATCCCAGGAGGCTTTTTTTCAGAAGCAGAGGCTCAGCACGATTGGAACATTGAGCCTGCCTCCTTTGGGGCACCAAGCCGAAACGGGTGTCCCAAAACGGCGCTTATGCAGCCGACAATGGCAATGGTGCACCACAGATCCCAGGGGGACAATGCCTTCAGAAGTGATGTTGAATCTGTTGAAGCATAGCTACATCTAGTGAACGTTTGCTGACCAATCCCCGGGGACGCTGTGTTTGGAAGTAAGGTCAAGCATTGAAGCATACATCACCTACACACACGTAAGTGATTATGGAGAACGTGTTTCCGATTCGAAGTTGACCCGGCCAACGCAAAGACTGACTCTTGAGCCCAAGAGGCCCGTGCTAAGGATGAGCTGCCTGCAGGAAATGCTGCATGCCATACAAGTGACAGGCGCACAAACTCGTTGCAACGACACACGTGGGTTCCAGCATGCCCCGCTGATTCCTATGAAGCCCTAGAACAACTAGAGAGAGAGACTGTCCCGAAAGCGTTTTGAGCAGTGACGTGAGCACCGCGACATTTGACACCATTTCATCCGTCCATTCTCCAGGTAAACATGTACTCCTCCTACAAAGACTCCTTTATGCAATCTGATACATAGAGTGCAGACGAGACGTCGCACTAGCAGAGCCGTGTTCAACACGCATGGGGCATTGCTAGCAGCAAGTTGAAATGTGAAGGGATGTTGTCAAACCCGTGTCGTACAAAGATGATAAAGGCATATCAGTTAGTTATCAAGATCTAACTTCCGAAAGCCGTATTTAACCGCACATCATGTCATCAACCCCACATTGAATCCGATACGTCACAAAACCTGTACAAGAAACTGATCATTTCATCCCATGCGCATCATCCCATCAATCAAACATCAAGCCATTTTGTAGACAACCACCTCCGCGGAAAACCCTTCTCCGAGCAACAATTCTGAGGACGCCCCACGTGGAAGCGCCCATGCACGCTGGGTCCACTAAAAGGGTGGTCGATTCTGGCGATTGAGCAGGCTCCCGTTATCGGTGTTGAAGAAAGTTGGGCTTTTAACTTCTCGTCATGGCGGTCCACAACGTGCAACTGCAGAACCCGTGTCGAACTCTTCCTGAAACTGTGAAGTACTGAAAAACGAACCGCTGCGTTTTCGAGCAGAGACTTAGCTTCTTGCTTGCCTGAGGCAAACCTTGGACTTGGTGTGATACATCCTGGCATTCTTGAGCAAAACGAAACCCTGTCACTTTGCAGTACTATGCAACCTCATTAGCCTGCCCGCATTAAGTAACCTGTCCCGCGCTTGGTGCAGTACGGTCGAAAGGCTGTTCCAAGGCATGGATCAATACCTGCCGGTTGAGGTCTGGACCACAGCCAGGCCCTTGGTTCGTGTGCTGCTGAGGTTCTCCCTGGTGCCATTCCATCAAGAGCTGCAAGGCGTCGGTGCGGACTGGCTTTATTTATTCAGGGCCGTATAACAGACGCCACAAGTCCGTCTGGCGCCTGATGCGGGCCTCCCAATCCTTGATGTTTTTTTTGGGGGGGTGGCGAGGCCTCCTCTGCGTTGCCGGATGTGTTTATTCGAAGCTCCTGCACAAGGGCACCTCCATCTTGGGATCATGTTGGGCTAGGGGACGTGCCGCCGACCGACATTCTCGTGGTTGACCTCTGCTCGCGAAACTTCGTGGGCGCCCCCACTTGAGCCGACAACAAAGCTTCAAATCTCTGGCGCAGGCCATTGGATTGGGGCGCGCAACAACAGGCAGCAACTGAAATTGAAGCACGGGCACAGTACGACGCTCAATGGCCAATCTGACGCCGCAAGTGGAGAATTTTGTCGATTTTTTCGTAAACGAGCAAAGTTGACACCGCGCAGGGCAGCGCTGGGCCCAAAGCTTTGATTGTAGTGGTTTGCCGGCAAGCAGGCGCGCACTGTTTGTAAGAAGCAGTGCAGGCATGAGCACGTGTCAAGGGCACGAGATAACAAGATTAGCAGGGTTGGGAGGTTGGCTTATGTGCGATTGTTTAACCTGGTCTCTCCGCATTGAAAAATTCCTGCAAAACCTGCAGGTCACACAGCTTTTCGGCTTCAACGTAGTTTGTTGAGGATTTTGAGGTTTGGCGCTCTCAGCAGCCGCCCCCTGCTCCACTGCTGCACCTACAGCCCGCTGCACCAACTCCAGAGGTTGCCTTCGACTTTGCCCGGGTTCGCGGTTCGCCTCGCACCTATTGTCCATCAGCAGCCCGACTTCACGAACAGCCAAAACCTGGTGCAACTATAAACCTAGAATTAACAATGGCGAGCCCTCGCAACGATACCTTCCAAGATTACTTGCTTTGCGACCCATTTTGAAGCAATCTCTCCGCCCCGGGTGCTGCGTTCAAGCATCATTGTGACCATCCAGCCAAGTATGAACAGTGAAGGAGAAGGCTTGGATGAGAAAAAATACGAGGTCTTCACTGTTTGCGTCCGCTTCTGAATCCTGTCTGCCCCAATTTGCAAGCACCTTACAGCTTTATTTGGCATCTGTTGGTGCGCATGTTTTCCGCCGAAACCGCTCGCTGCTTGTTGTCTTCCGTCTCTGCTGCCTACTCTCTCTCTCTCTCTCTCTCTCTAGTCCTTCCCCCCTCTCTCTCGCCCCTCCTGTTCGGACACCATCTCCCCATCCTGTTCTCTTTCACGAAGTTCTTTGCTTGGCTACAATCCTTGTCCAAGCGGTGGCACCCTGATGCAGGCATTGTCAACAAGCAGCGTTGCTGGTGTAGCATTCTATTGGGCAAGCCTGGAACAAGACTTCAGACGTTCGTGGCAACAGCGTGCTGAACGATTTCGCGGCGGCCTGCACTTGGTGCTATTGGATGATCCGCCAGGCAGTTGTGACAATTGAATTTTTGCATTGGCCTTCATTTGGCCATCTCTGTCAGCTTCAGGGACGTAGCCTTTCATGTGGCATGTGTCTGCAATGCGCAGGACACATTTTGGGCAGTGATGACAGCTGGGTATGGCTCGGCACAGATGCTTTGCGAATAACGCGAGCAGAACACGTGCTGACACTTGGAGGCGGAGGTGGGGATGCCAACCAGTTCAGTACAAACATGCACACTTAAGTCGACGAATGTCAGGCGTGCTTTGTTGTGCTCTTTCGTGTCATGTGGCAAGCTGAAGCGAGCAGATGCAAAAGCCAACTCATGCCACGTGACACTCTGGTCTTGGGGCGAGGCGTTGTGGCAGAAGAAGCTGCTGTATGCCGGCGCGATGAGGAGCTGAAGCGAGTACGCTGGCACGTGGTCAAGGTTCCGAGGCAGCTGGGCTGCGCGTACTACGTGAATTCTGTGAGTTTTTGCGTTGCAGTACATAAATTGGAGCAAGCTAAGATTCAAACGGCTGGAAGGTTTTGTTGCGTGTCTAGTTCTATCAGCCTGAGCGATGAAGTGCAGATGAAGCCGTGCAAACTCGGTGCACATTAGACAACATGTGCAGTTCAAATGCGTCCCCTCCGTGTCGCACAGATTCGGCGACGAGACGCTGTCTTATGGAACTCTTCATGACCGACTTCATTCTGAAAAATGGTCCAACATGGAGCTCATCTCTGTGCCTGCTACTTGTAACCGGTCTCAGGCCGAAGCACGTTCAAGCACGGAGCCTGCAGCCTGCACTCGCGCTGCAGAAGAAACAGGTTCAAATTGTGCCTGGATGCCGCCATGTCAAGCAAGTGAGACATGGCTTGAGTTCATTCTGTGGTAGGTAATTTACCCAAAACTGCATTGATGGCCGCAGCGGTGCGTAAATTTTGGGGCGAAGCGCGCGAAGACGTGAAGACGTGAGATGCGGCGCAAAGACGTGAAGCGCGCGAAGCGCGCGAAGACGTTAACGTCGTCAACGGCGTCAACGGCGTCAACGTCTTCAACGGCGTCAACGGCGTCAACGGCGT